TCTAACTACCTTACTTATTCCTCTAACTCTAACTACCTAATTTAATCCTCTAACTACCCGATTCAATCCTCTAACTGCTTTACGTAATCCTCTAACTACCGTACTTAATCCTCTAACTACCTTACTTATTCCTCTAACTCTAACTACCTAATTTAATCCTCTAACTACCCGATTCAATCCTCTAACTGCTTTACGTAATCCTCTAACTACCGTACTTAATCCTCTAACTACCTTACTTATTCCTCTAACTCTAACTACCTAATTTAATCCTCTAACTACCCGATTCAATCCTCTAACTGCTTTACGTAATCCTCTAACTACCGTACTTAATCCTCTAACTACCCGATTCAATTCTCTAACTCCCTGACTCAATCCTCTAACTACGTCATTCAATCCTCAAAATTACTGGCACATTTCACTAACATATAATCCCTTAATAAATTTGCGTTGCTGCCTTCTTGCCACATTCCTCTACCTGTTTGACACCAAGTGTCATGACATTGGAGCACGTTCTGTCGCATCGTATTGAAATGTTCTCACCACGTTGTCGTGTACACTCTCCATTGAAATGTTCTCACCACGTTGTCGTGTACACTCTCCATTGAAATGTTCTCACCACGTTGTCGTGTACACTCTCCATTGAAATGTTCTCACCACGTTGTCGTGTACACTCTCCATTGAAATGTTCTCACCACGTTGTCGTGTACACTCTCCATTGAAATGTTCTCACCACGTTGTCGTGTACACTCTCCAGCTACTGTCCGACTACGCCGGCGGCGTCAACACAGCTGTCCAAATCTTAGACAAGTACGATTGGTACTTCGTGCCAGTAGCCAACCCTGACGGTTACGAGTACACCCACACCACAGTAAGTTCTTACATCAATACCCAAAGTCCCTAACAAACGAGGCCACACCACAGTAAGTTCTTACATCAATACCCAAAGTCCCTAACAAACGAGGCTACACCACAGTAAGTTCTTACATCAATACCCAAAGTCCCTAACAAACGAGGCCACACCACAGTAAGTTCTTACATCAATACCCAAAGTCCCTAACAAACGAGGCCACACCACAGTAAGTTCTTACATCAATACCCAAAGTCCCTAACAAACGAGGCCACACCACAGTAAGTTCTTACATCAATACCCAAAGTCCCTAACAAACGAGGCCACACCACAGTAAGTTCTTACATCAATACCCAAAGTCCCTAACAAACGAGGCCACACCACAGTAAGTTCTTACATCAATACCCAAAGTCCCTAACAAACGAGGCCACACCACAGTAAGTTCTTACATATAGTTAAAGGACTGCAATCAAGCCTATTAAATGAAATAGCAAAACGAGGTATGTGGAAACGTGAATTAGAGAACAGGACAAAAAGATTAGGACGTTTTGGCATAAAGCCTTCCTCAGCACACAGCACCCAAAGTCCCTAAGAAACGAGGCAACACCACAGTAAGTTCTTATACCAGTACCCAAAGTCACTAGACAAACGAGGTTATACAATCGGATAAAAGGAAACGACCTATAACAATGCAAAACATTTTTAAATAACTTGGATAGTTAAAGATAAAATTAAAATTTACAGGCATACAAAAAAATATTATTTTTTCTCAAATTATGATTGAGAAAAGCATTTTTAGAATCAAACTTGAGATGCCGGAAAAATATTAACTCTAAGCACCTAAAAATATGTGTGGGAAGAAAATATTAACTCTAAGCACCTAAAAATATGTGTGGGAAGAAAATATTAACTCTAAGCACCTAAAAATATGTGTGGGAAGAAAAAGAAAATATTAACTCTAAGCACCTAAAAATATGTGTGGGAAGAAAATATTAACTCTAAGCACCTAAAAATATGTGTGGGAAGAAAATATTAACTCTAAGCACCTAAAAATATGTGTGGGAAGAAAATATTAACTCTAAGCACCTAAAATATGTGTGGGAAGAAAATATTAACTCTAAGCACCTAAAAATATGTGTGGGAAGAAAATATTAACTCTAAGCACCTAAAAATATGTGTGGGAAGAAAATATTAACTCTAAGCACCTAAAAATATGTGTGGGAAGGAAATATTACGCACCAAACGCACCTGCGATAGTTTTTTTTTTTTTAAGACTCCCTTTTAGCGCAGTTATCGGTAATTTGATTATCTGAAATCGGTGGCATCATATTTCCATTATAGTCTCATTGAAAAACAGGAAAAACTGATTTTGGGGGGTTTGGAGTGAACATTTGATAGAATTTGTTGTCATTGACAACGGGTCTTTGTGCCAAATTTCGATAGGTTGAGGGAAGTGGATCAGCCAGCCACAAATAAAAGTGAAATTAATGAAAATCACTTAAAAATAGAAGAATCGTATAAATGATTGTAATTTTCAATCCTGGATGTCTTCTCATGATGGTATGTCTTCCTTAGAACCGTATGTGGAGAAAGAACAAACGCTACGTTAGTGCCAGATGCACCGGTGTGGACCTCAACAGAAACTTTGACGCCATGTGGGGAAGTAAGTCACTCCTTGTAATCCAGTTCTAGCAGTTCAGTAAGAAGTAACCGAATTTTGTGGCAGTCGTAATGACTATCTTAACACTCCCGCAAACATGGGGAATGATGGGATTGATTGCTCCCGAATCTCTAACACACGTAAACAAAGTGAAATCAGAACGATGAAAATTCGAACGAACCAACCCTTAAATCTGTGTCAATCTTTTCCCCCAGCCACCGGCATCTCCAGGACGTGCTCCAGCGACATCTATCTCGGCGAGGCTCCCTTCTCTGAGCCAGAGACCGCCAACCTGAGGGATCTGTTTGAAAGTATCATTGGCGAGGTGGTCGCCTACATGTCCGTGCACTCCTACTCACAGGTACGGACATGGGCCACTAGTGGACCGCATTGTTTATCCTTATGTCGGTCGTCAGAATCTAACGTTATTTAAAAAAAAAAATTCCTGTGTTTATTATAATTCATTCATCTCACTTGGGGGACTTTAAAATCCCTTAACACAACATCTAAGAAAAAACAAATCAAAAAGATTAAAAAATATTTTAAGTATGCACACATATTGTTTTTTCAAATAAAATTTGCAAGACTCGCGCATTTTTTTTTCAGGATAATTTCGCGAATTTATATTTACCCTTATGAGAACAGCTACAAAAAATGAGAGGTGAAAGGCTTATTTTCAAACTGATTAAACTGAGCCAAATGACCGAGTTTGTGAATGAGAGGCATATTGGCCAAGCTCCCACGGAGAGAGCTAGTGGAGGCCAGGGCAACTCACGTTGGTGCATTGTCCAGTTCGGTATTATCCAGGGCTGCATTTTCCAGAGATGCAACTCCAGAGATGCATTGTACAGAGATGCATTGTGCAGAGATGCATTGTGCAGATATGCATTGTCCAGTGATACCATGTCCAGAGATCTGTTGTCCAGAGCAGTGGCGTAAGTGCGGAAAGGGGGGGGGCGCCCGGTGCAACACTTCTTTCCTTACATTTAGAGATGGAATTTTCTGCCAAATGCAGACTTTTTTTCAAGGAAGTGGGCAGCAAAAGCTTGGCACGCCCCGGGCGGAACTCACCCTAGATACGCCACTGCTGGTCCAGAGATGTATTGTCCACAGATGTATTGTCCAAAGATACATTGTGCATGACTGCGTTATTCAATGCTGTGTTGTTTAGTGCTGCTCTGTCCAGGGCTGCAGGAATTTTTTTTTACCAACCCCTACAATAATTTATTCAAATACTTGTTTAAAATATACTCTTTCAGTTCCTCCTGGTCCCATGGGGTTACACCGAGTATGTGTCCAGACCAGCCAACTCTGCAGAGCTGGTCAGTGTCTTTTACTCTTACTTTTAAGTTACACTTATTTATTATAGCTGGTCAATGTGTTTCGCTGTTACACTATTTGTAGTTACACTTATTTATGCAAAGAGATTTAAATTTCACATAATATTTACAAGCTTTCTAAACTTACATAGGTCTCAGAGTATAATTCTACACCCCCACCACCAACTACCAGCCTATTCTCTACTAAGACGTATTTTTTATATATATTTTTTTTTTAAAATCAGGATCGTGTGGCCACTAGGATGACCCAAGCCCTGATCGCTAGATACGGTACTCAGTACTACATGGGAACTGCATGGCAACTGCTCAACTGTAAGTAGCTCACCGACATGTCACTGCAGTAGTAGAGAAATACAGGGTGTGATCGGTGCTTCTTAAAGTTGAAACATTCCTCCTCGACCTTGTCTCTAAGACGATAGACTTTTAATATATGTATATAATTTTATATATGTAAATTTTCTGAGGAAGTTCAAAGAATTAATCTTTTCAAAAATAAAATAAGTGTTAAAAGTTAAATCAATACGACAATGCCTTGTAAAACTCCACAACCCACACATCACCCCAAAGTCCAGCGCTTCATTCGGTTTCAAAAAGTATGCACTTAGGGGGCTACGTGTTTGGCTAGTGACGTTTCAGGTTGCCTTATTTTCTTTATTTTGTTTTTGTAAAGAGACTATTTACATTTTTGCCGACCAGGCTTCTCAATTTTCATTGAATGAATTTCCACCTGAATCATCTTTTCAATTTGCCCTAACCTTTGTGAGTGATCATTTCAATTTACAATTACCTCTCGGGCTGACAGTTTCAATTTTTACTCTAACCACTCCGACACACGGTTCAATTTACCCATCACTAACCTTTCCGACACACGCATTCACTTTACCCATCATTAACCTCTCCGACACACGGTTCAATTTACCCATCACTAACCTCTCTGACACACGCATTCACTTTACCCATCACTAGCCTCTCCGACACACGGTTCACTTTACCCATCACTAACCTCTCCGACACACGGTTCAATTTACCCATCACTAACCTCTCCGACACACGGTTCAATTTACCCATCACTAACCTCTCCGACACACGGTTCAATTTACCCATCACTAACCTCTCCGACACACGGTTCAATTTACCCATCATTAACCTCTCCGACACACGGTTCAATTTACCCATCACTAACCTCTCCGACACAGACGCAGCTAGCGGTGCCGCCGAGGACTGGGCGCTGACCAGGAAGCCAGGTCTTTACGGCATGTGCTATGAACTGAGACCTGGCTACAATGATAATCGTGGCTTCATTCTGCCGGCCAATGAAATCATCCCAACTGGCCAAGAATATTACGATAGTCTCGTAGTTTTGGCCAATGAAATGAGAGTGTAAAAGACATGCGCGAACAGATTTGAATCTTTTGTTTTTTTGTTGTCGTTGCTGTTTTCTTTCCAGAAGAGTTTTTCGAGTGTTGATTTTCATCTATCGTTAAATATGTTTAAAATAAATTAAATAAGAAATCGGTTTATATATAAATTGTTTCTAAAGAAAGCTTTTAAAAACAATTCAAATACATTCATGAATTGAATATTTTGTATTCGAGAAACAAGAAAATAAAAGTTATTCCCCTTTAAATTTACTTGTTTTCAAAGTTTCTTTTAAAATAATTTAAAAAAAAAAATATTTTCGTTGAATACAATGTGGCATTCATTGAACTGCACACATTTGACATACAGATGACAGAGGGGAAAAACCCATCAAATTTTCACCATATCCGCTAAAAAGCCGAGGTATTCTTATTTGTGTCTGTGGTTATGTGAACATGAAAACCGACAATGTTGTAAAAATAAAAAAATAAATAAAAATTAAAAATGATCAACTTTCCCTGAATCGATTCTACAGACGCTGCTTCTGGGTCTTCCAAAGATTATGCACTTCGTCGCAAGCCAAATCTCTACGCAATGGCATACGAACTTAGGCCTAGCGCAAGTAGCTCTATAGGCTTTAACCTTCCGGCCTCACAAATAGTCCCCACAGGACAAGAGTACATGGATAGCTTGGTAGCTTTGGCTACAGAAATTAGAGTTTAAAGGTAGTGATCAAAGAAACGAAGTAATTATATTGACCAGCATACTACATTATCTGATGTTTTCATCGGAATAAAAATAATTTACAAAAAGAAAGGAAAGCATGATCTGAGCCCCAAATACTTTAAAAAAAAAAAGAGTATTTAGAATAAAACAAGGCTATTTTGATGAAAATACATGTGCAGTACATGTTTAAAAAGACGCAAATAAAAGTTATATAATATTCTTGACTTCGTGTTTGTATTGTAAATTCTCAATAGCGAAATACATATTCAAAATGTTAAGACAACATTACAATATTGACACACATAGCACACCATTTACACAATTACACGAAATCGACACACCAACACAACATTGACCTACCAGCACAATATTGACATACACCAGCACAACATTGACATACACCAGCACAATATTGACATACACCAGCACAATATTGACATACCAGCACAACATTGACATACACCAGCACAACATTGACATACACCAGTACAATATTGACATACACCAGCACAACATTGACACACACCAGCACAACATTGACATACCAGCACAACATTGACATACACCAGCACAACATTGACATACACCAGCACAACATTGACACACACCAGCACAACATTGACATACCAGCACAACATTGACATACACCAGCACAACATTGACATGCACCAGCACAACATTGACACACACCAGCACAACATTGACATACACCAGCACAACATTGACATACACCAGCACAACATTGACATACACCAGCATAACATTGACACACACCAGCAAAGCATTGACATACACCAGCACAACACTGACATACCAGCACAACATAGAGATACCAACATAACATTGACATACACCAACACAACATTGACATGCAAGCACACTATTGACATACCAGCACATGGGTGACGCACCAGAACAACAGCGATGTCCCATCACACCATTAGCAACACCACTGACACACCAGCACAGCATTGACTCAACAGCACAACATTGAAACACCCGAACAGTATCAGTAGTCAAGCACTACGTTGGTGGGCATAAGAGCGACTCGTGGCGTGGTGATATAGTGTTGTAACAAAGGCTGTTTATTAGGATATAGATGGCTGCATCGCTTCTCAGAATAAATACAATTTCATCGATCTTTTATTATTTAAAAAAAATTTTTTTTTAGTAAAGTGCCCAAAACATTAGGGTTCACAGTCTTAACCCTAGTGTGGGTTGGTGATTCCGGTTGGCTTAAAATAATCTTAATCTTAAAAGCATCGGGTCGTATGTTGTGCAGGCCTCACGTAACTTCTAGTGATTTGAGGGGGGAACAAAATTTCATTTGAAAATAAAAATATGATCTTGCACATTTTAAACGACGGCAACAGAAGTATCGGCATCATCGATAAATTATTTAAGGCCCTCTCCTTTCCTTCCTACTCGTTCTCTCGTCTTCACGTACGGGGCCGGCCAAAGGGTTGCTGGCGCCCCGGGCAAGCTTAACTTTGAAGCCCCTTTTAAGTATAATCAGACACATTTGTGCAAAGGAAAAACTGGGGGTAAGGTAATAAGCTATTACCTAGGTTTAAAAAAACAAACAAAACAAATAATGAACAATAAAACTGCATTTCTTAACTTGCATTCGGACAGTATGAACAATTAGCCTACCGATAAATTTTCTTTTTTTTTTGTAGCCTTTAGATCAGCGAATCTTTTTATTGCACTTTCTATTTTTCTTCCATAGTGCCTTCATAAAACTATTTTTCCTATTTTAGAAAATCGTTGATTGTGCCCTAAGCACATGACGTCCCGGACAAATGTGAGTTGCCGGTACCTTGACCCGGCCCTGTTCATGTAGCACGTACATATGCACAAATTTAAAAAAATAAAATCTTGAATAGAATCTGAGACAAGTTTAAAGAACAAAAATTTGAGCAATAAATAGGCATCAGCTAATATGTTTTTTTAATGGTCCATTTTAAATTTTCTATATGGCTGAACTCAAAATATGTTCAGCAAGAGTGTAGTAAGAGGAAGGCTGAGAGGGGGGGGGGGGGCACTTATTCAGGGGCAATATTGTCGGTCCCTTTTATAAACTCTTTGCAGCTTTATCATTTTAACATAAAATTTTATATTCATTATGCATTTTTGTTATTTTAAATGTTCTAGATGGCTAAACACAAAAAATGTTCAGCAAGAGGGTAGTAAGAGGAAGGCTGAGAGGGGGGGGGGGTGCACTTATTCAGGGGCAATATTGTCGGTCCCTTTTATAAACTCTTTGCAGCTTTATCATTTTAACATAAAATTATATATTCAGTATGCATTTTTGTTTTTTTTATTGTTAGGGCGGCAAAATCAACGGCGGCACCGAACGTCACAAACTGACTAGCTACTCCGGATGAATGGTTAGACTAGACAAGGGTGATGGATGTCATCCGGTTCCATAATGATATGATTTTGATATAGCAATCATAAATCAGTTACTAATCAGTTACTTTGCGCTATTGTTAAAGAAGAACAATTGGCGTATCAAAGTGAAGATGAAAAGAAAATAGTAATACATTTAAGAACAACAATATTTAGACCTTATCAATTCTTTAAACTTAAAAGAATTCTACAATATAAATTGGATTATAGTCATAGATTCAGTGGCGTAGCTAGGGGGTGCGGGAGGTGAGGACCTTAACGGGTGACACCATCCCAAGGGGTGACCCCAAACTGAAAAATGCATATTTACAGAGCACTCACTGCTCAGACTAACCGAATTTCATAAAAGGATAACCGATCACGCGTAACTTTTCCACACATGTAACCAATCCAAATGCGTCCTTTATTGACAGTTCAAGTTAGATGCTTCATAAATGAGGTAACCTTATAATTAGCTTTAAAAAAATTAAAAAAAAAAAAACGTTTTGACCATTATTCAACGCCGATTGGGGTATTCGGTAACTTTCGTAAGTGACAGGAAGCTATATTTATCAAAATTTTGAGAAATAACTCTTTTCATTGATATCAAATACGATGTGGTGGGGCGATTCTAAGTAGATTAATCAGTAAAAATTAACAGCATTTTAAGAAGTGACTTTTTACCCAGTTATAGGGTTAACGGAATAATATTAAAAAAAAATTAGAATATATTTTAAAAATTGATTTAAATTAATTTAAATTTTACAAAAAAAGTTTTTTTTAAAAAATCTAATAAATCGAAACAAAAATTTAATATTTTCACCGACTCGTCACTAGCACCGCCCCTTAACATTTGAGCACGGCTTACAGTTTGAAGAGCAGGATCAGGAAAGGAAACTTTAAAATTAATTAATTTTAATGTAAAAATAACTATAACTTAACGTTGTTACATTTAATACCAGGCCTTCAATTAACTTGCTGTTGTTGTTTTTTTTTTGGTTATTGTTATACTGTAGACTTATTTGGGGGGGGGGGGTGACACCAACCCTAGCTACGCTACTGCATAGATTAATTAGATTGTAATTTTAATCGTAACAAATTAAAAATGTGTTAAAGAAGTTAAGAAAATTATTTTTCCCGCCAACTTTTATATTTTATGCCAATATATCTCAATTGGTGGCAACAAAAATATCGGCATTGGCATGCCCCGTACAGCACTACAGTACGCCACTGTATATACATTTATATCATATCTAAATGTCAGTGGGTCCTCTCCAAATGGGTTCAGACCCCTAAAAATGTCACCTCGCATACTGTGGGGCAGCAACTTGCAGAGCGTGACACTGCGACAGACTGAGCGAATCCCAGATTTAGAAGCAATATTTTGTAAATTTTAAAAAACATATTAATATTACGTCATCAAAATATGAGTATCTTCCATACTGTCCATAATCTGAGACATAAAGATAAAGGCCGGCACTACGTACACCGCGGCGGTGTACCTAGCGAAACTATTGACTTTGGCCTGGGTACACAGCGGCGGTGTACCTAGCTAAATCATGGTCTGTGGCCTGCGTACACCGCAGCGATTTTAAGTAGCAAAACTATGGTCTTTGCGAGTCTTTAACTTTTTGGCCTAACCGGTACTTGTAGATTTAATGTTATACTCGTGTTAAAACTGAAAACTATTAAAAATTCGTTTATTACCTTGGGAAGATATTGAGTAAGGTCCACGCGTATGTGGCAAAGTGCATGTAAAGCATTTCTTATTATTTTTGGAAGGGAAGGGGCTGGGGGGGGTGTAATGTTAAACCATGATTTATTTTTAA